ACTCATCTTGGTAACATGAATTATCATGTAAACAAGGAGATTTAATGCCAAAAAGTCAATGAAAGGCAAATAATACAATATTGTCTTTGTGGTAAGGACAATACCAATAATGGAATCTACATTTCCAATGACAATAATTTACTCTTCTTCATCTTCAAATAACTAAGGTTTCTAAAGGCAAGTAATAAGTATGGATTGGGTGACTACGTTTGCTGTTCTTTGCTCATTTCTAGCTCTTTCTACAGAATCATACACAATAAATTTCTCATCAGACCGCAACACCCTTTCCACAGATGATATTCGCATCATCCTAGAAGCCATGCACGATGCTATCAAGCTCTTCTCTGGCGAGGAGTATTACCCAGTTGGATCCGCTTTCATCGATTTCGTGACCGTCACAAACAACGTTGTGGTCAACTTTATCTTCTTTGTGTACGAAGGAGGCCAGGTCCCAGATTACTGCCGAGTAGGAGCCGATGGACAGCATTACATTCGTGGAAGAGTTCTCCAGGCCACCCTTGGGAATATTCTCTACTATTGCACAAACCAGATGCTCCTCTATGGAGCTAGCAAGATGTTATCAGTCATGGACATTGTGGGTATAGACTATGTGATTGCGCACACTGACCAACGTCCCACTCTTGATTTTTACTATGATTATTCCAATACTTCAGTTGAAACAATGGAGGACTCTTCTAGAGCATCAGTGCATGGTTTACCACGTAGAAGCTGCGTGACTCGGTTCACAACGCTGGACAGTGGCTTCTACAATTTGCTTCCAAAGGGCTATCACTTGACCACATCAAATAATTACTATAGTTTGGAGGTGGAGGACGATTGTAGTGTGGCAGTCAAAGCTGGTGGCAAAGAGATCTGGAGGAATGGCTATCCGCGGCTCAGAGATGTGAATTGTGGCCTCAGAATCCAAACGGATGGAAACATGGTTATGTTTGAGCGACCGAGTAAAAGAGTGATCTGGGCTGTGAACAAGCTCTGTCAAGGTCTTTGCTATACTTTCCTTACCATCCAGGACGATGGAAATGCTGTGCTCTACCATGTATACAAACATAGCACCGCGATGACACCTGTGTGGGATTCAAAAACATATCATAAGTACAAATAATATAAGAAAACAATGGTCATCTTGTCTCAATACTTTTCTCGCCCAACCCCTCACTGCGAGCGTTAGGTCTGGCTGTTCGTGTGATTCCTGGCAGGCCACGATGGGATTCTTCCAGAGGATGCAGCAAGAAGGTATGGCACCGAGCCGAGTAACTCTTCTCTCGGGTGAGAAATCAGTCAGCACCAATCGGGAGCATGAACAAATCAGTCAGCGCCCAAGCGCGAACACGAAGAATCAGTTAGTGTGGAGAAGACGACCAAATCAGTGGAGTGCCAATCGGAGTCAAACTGGGGCGTTCAATCCCGAACACCGTTGGAACACTGTTGGCATGGACTGGCAGGTAGGAATGTGTGATGTGTTCAGCTTAGCAGCTGAGTTAACGGGCAAGCCACAGCCCGTTAAAGCTCCACCTTTGGAAGCCAGCTCCTCTTCATGGTGAAACCGCTGCCGGACATCATGGGGGGAAAGGATATGGATGCGATTTAGGGTTCTCCTGGTCCAAAGACGATGGAAGACGATGGGCTGGATGATCTCTTTAAGAATCGACGTATAGGGGTGGCCACCATTTCCAGAATCCGAGATCTAGATCTGAAAGCACAGGATTTGCTGCTTCTGTCACCTCAGTTTTTGGCAGAGCTGTGCCAAACTGTGGAAGCATCTGATGAGGAGAGGTTCAAGATTTTTGCTGCAGTGGGTGCAGCACAACAATCCGCAGTGACGGGAATCTGCAGATTTGGTAAGCAATCAAGCCTGTTGTTGCCTGGCTGATGTATTTTGTTTCAGGTTCGCAATCGGAAGGCTTGAAGGTGCGTTTATACATTTCTGAAAGAACAGATCTGGTGGAGAAGCTTGAGAGTCTTGTTTGCAAAGAACAAGCAGTCATCGTGCGAGCCCCTCCTCAAGTGGTAAAACATTTCTTCTTCAGTTGAGCTTGGGTAGGTTTTGAGCTCATGCACAAGAAAAACATTGGTTTGTCTTGAATTAACATCTTTTCATTTTTCAAATTTTGATTTAATTTATATTTCTAAGTAAATTCAACTAATAAAATACAAATATAAATATAGATCCGAACACTAAAAGCAATCTAAAAACACTTCACAACCTCCGCAACTATCAAGCTTGCCTGGTGGATGTGATGGTCGATATTAGGATCTTGGTTTAGTTCCTACATAAAAATGTAATAGATGTGCTTGCAAGCTAAATATACTTTTCCCCTGTTCTCCCGCTATGTAAAATCTGGACAGGTACAGGATGGATTTTCACAGATTTTGACAGTGTAGCTTGTATCTTGTGACGACTCAGTCACAACAACAAACTCTTTAGCCACAACATTGATGTAGTTTGTCTTTATGATTGTGCACTTGAACTCTTTTGTTAGCTTGATCTTCTCTTGTGCACCTTTTGAAATGGAAGACCTATATTGTACAGCCTTCCCATTCCTAGCTAGTTGTGTATGCCGGTCTAGTGTTGATATTAGTGGCATAACCATACTAACAGCAACATTTGAGGAAGTCTTTAGCTTGAAACCTACTCTCTCCAGACTTTCAATCTCTTCTTTCAAAAGATTGTAGCTTCGCTCAACTGCCCACTCCTTTGGCACAGAATCTAGCTTCAAAATAATTGAGCCATGGATCCGGCTTGTATAAGTAACATCAATCCCACAATAGTAAATCCAACTTGACTGGTGGCCTTTCACTCCTAGATCTCGACAGCCCCAGAAACATGGCACTGCTGAAGAACTTGAACTTGAGCACACAAATGCAAGACACTAACCTCGACTTCCAATCATTCTGGAGCAACATGCATTGCTCTTGGCACTGACTCTTCGAATTGCCCAGTTGATACAAGAAACTGGCTCACAAAAAATAACCTTTTCAACCTTTGGCACTAGACTTACTTGTGTAACAACTAACATCTTCTTCACTCCATGTTCCTTAGTTCTTTTCCGGTGTCATGGAACAGAATGGTAATCAAACTCTGGACGGTGAGAGCTAGAAGGAGTGATGTTTAGCCCATCAAATGTCTATCGACGTTTTGTACGGGCTGTTCTCATGTCCCCAAGTGGTTCATAACTTGATTTCATAAGAGTTCTAGCAACAACTTCCTCCACCATCTTAGACATTGACCTTGTTACTGGTGTTGTCCTTCTACTAACCGGCTCTCAAAGCCTATTTAAGTTTGAACTTGTACCAGCAAACCTTGCTTCCTGTGCAACTAAAGCTTTTGATGACTACTCAAGAGATTTAATGAGGTCAGAGAGTGTAACTTCATAGAGGGACATTTTTCCTTTCCCTGCTTCAAAAGCTTTCCAACTCTAGTGTTTACTCTTAGAGAGATTAATTGTTGATGTAAGTGCTATGTCATCAAGTGGTTGATCCTAGGAAAAATGCAACATTTGAATGTGACAAGAAAGAAAATGAGAGAAAGCTTATATAAAGAGTATAATGACCCTACTAAAACATTTAAACTTCCCACCATATAAGCTAGCATTCCATTTGTGGAAGGTTTTCAATTGGCATTTTATCTCCTTCACGCCACCATATGCACATCTCATTTGCCTTTGCTTCATGCTCCTCTTTAGTTGGTGCATCCATCCATTCCCAACAAAGTTACTTGAACTCGTGATGGAAGTCAAATTTGATGTATCGGCAATGTTCGTTGACACTCTTTGCCTAATGAAATTCACAACTCTTCTCTCTACCTTGTAATGGCTAACTTTTATCACCTCCAAATATTTGTTATACAGCCAACTAGTTAACACCAGCAGCATTTGCCATGAAACCACGAAAGTTGGGTTTCTTCCCGGTTCGTTATTTAACAACTTCGGACATACATATCCAAAAAATGGTTTGTGCTTAAAAATCTTGAACCTTGAATTTGGCTATAGTTATAGTCAAGTTGCACTGCAACCTATAGAAGGAATGGTTATAATGTAAATCGGTATGGAATCCTTAAAAAATGAATATCCACTTACTTGTGATCATAAATATGAGCTCCCATAGTTGACCAGCCTGAAACTCGTTTCATGTGGTCGAAATGGATCCGTGAATTAGCCAAGTCCCCATCTCTATCCATATCTATTCATTTTACAAGGTCCACACCAGAAGCAAGACCAAGGGTAGATCTTAAAGATGAAAGGGCATTAATTGTTTGAAGTCACTTGGCCAACGAACAAGCTTCCATGAATAAACTCATAAGGACATTTTCTCTTTAGCTCCAAAATCCCATTCAATCCAAATTGAAACTTTCCATCTTGCCCTTCTCACATCCAGTTTTTTATTCTACAAAAAAAAAGTGTTATTAGTGATAAAGTAGAGTTAAGTATTAATTTTATACCTGTTTAAATTTGTCACAGGTTTTATATTTTGAAGTAGGTCCTTCAAGCTATTCTCTGTGAACTCTTTTTTGCTATCAGATTGTAGCAACATATCCACCACATAGTCCTTTAGTATAGACTGTTGAACACACTTTGGAGTTGTAGCACTTTTCTTCCCAGCCCACATTTGCGACATCTAAACCCTGTAGCAACCTCATCACGCTTAGGGGGATTGATTGCTGAGCCTTCAAAGAAACACATATTTTTGCCATGATTAGAAATGCATTTCTCAACGACACACTAAAGCTATCCACCACAATGGACTATGGACACAGATCCATCAAAATGAGAGAAGTGGGTTGTCTTTACTCTACACCAATTATGTGGATTAAGACGCATCTCCATACCCTTTTTCTTACTTGATGAACTAGCTGGTGGAAACTCAAAGAATATATTCCCAT